ACAGAGCAAGTTTCAACACTGTTTGGACTTGCTCAACATCAGAAGTTGTTAACTGCCCTGCGGGGAAATTCTGAGGAAGAGGGGGAGGCCTGGCACTATCATAGTGCGTTTGAAGAATCTGTTTGAAGAATTCAAGTCAAGGTAGAGATTTGTTGAATGCCTTGAATCGGACCCGTATACAATGTTGTTGTATTGGGCCCTTAATTATATGTCAATTCTGTATTTTGGGCCCAAACCTGTTAGGGCGTAGTTTAGCACTATATATAGACGCTATGACAAACCCTATTCTGTAATTCTGTTCTTGTCTCTCCATAATAAAACTGCTCCCCCTCTTCCCGTGGACGTAGCCAATTTATTGGTGAACCACGTAAATCTGTTGTCTTGTTTTTCGCGTTTATATTTTCTCGTACTATCTCAAATTCCGCATAACACATATTATTAGATGCTATAATAATTATATAATAATTCAACTTTATAATAATTGTATGAGAAAACATGCAACACACGTTTCGGAAACTAGTATATATATAAAGATGGTCTATTTTTCTTTTTAGTATCTTTTTAATATGTTTCAAAAAAAAATTCTTTTTATATATAATTTAATTTTAATTTAGCATCACAAGATTCAAAAAGTTCTATTTTATTTTCTTAAATTTCATGTCAAATCAAAATACGTTACTCACTCTTTTTGAATCGAATGAAGTATATTATGAACTTAATTTGCTGGAAAATACAATTGGAGAAACTAGTCTATCGACTTTTCCAGCCTCCATACACTCATTGTTAGTAGCAAAATAATGTCTCTCTGACATTGTCTGAATCTGCAATAATCCAAAACAAGCTAATTAGGGCATTATATTTTATGATTCCTACAATAACAATTTATAGTACTCCTCGGATATTTCAAAGTTAAAAAAGTTACTTAATATAGAAATGTATCGTTTTTTTTTAAACTGATTAAAAAGATTGTAATTGTGATACAAAGAATGTAATAATACCTAACAAAAATTATACATATTTATACAGTGTAATTTTGTAGCGACCTTGCACAATTATGATTTAAGAAAACCAGAAAATGGGAAATGTACCTGAGTTCTTAGCTTAGAAACTTGTTCAAGGAGGAACTTATTTGATTCAGACAATTTATCTTGCATAATTCGCGCGGTTGGGGAAGGTGATGAATTTCTTGAGTGTTCTGTTCCTCTTCTGAGGAATTCAGGACAAGGAACTTGTCCCCATCTTGGAAAATCATCCAACAAAGATTCAATGGGATCTAAGCATTGATTGTTCTCACTAGAATACTTTCTAGTTGACATCATTCGACTCGATATACTATTTGACTCTTGTGAGTTATCAATAGCTTGTCTGGGGCTATGCTTTTCCTTCTTGGATGCTCTACGAAGTTGGCAGAAACATGGATCACATACTCGAAAAGTTTTGGTTTTGTCTGAGCTTAGAGATGCATTTGTGGTTTTCTTTCTGCAGCATGCATGGCAAAATGAATGACCACAATTGTAACAATTATGTTTCTTTCTTGTAATCCGAAAAGTTGTGCCACATCCCCTGCAAACTGATTGATCACTACTTGATATCGATTTATGCAAACATATAGCTGCTGTGGAGTTTGATCCACAAGCAATATGTTCCACTTGTCTGTCTCTTAAACCCTCAACTAAAGCTGGGAAGTTTCTATTTTTCGTATCGCCTAGCCCCAACTGTCCATTTGAACCTTTACCCCAAGTGTACACATTTCCCTTTGATGTAAGCACAGCAACATGATTAGATCCTGAGGATATCTGTGTAACAAACTTGTCTTTAAGTTTCTCTTGCACCGCGACTAGTGATTTATCTTTGGCCTGTCTATCCACCAAACTTCCCATTGTGTAAACCTCTCCGGTGTTTGACAGACCAACGGTTAAGGTGCTTGCACAGGTAACTTGAATGAAATCATGATCATCAAGTTGAGAAACACGTGTTGGTAAAAGCTTCATCTCATTATCAGAATGACCAAGGTTTCCGTTATCCCCATCACCCCATGTAAAAAGCTTCACACTGCAATGATTGGATTTAAGGTGATCATGAACAGATATTTCGACTAATGCAGCTGTATGCCTCAGTCCACAAGCAACAGATTTCACACACAAACCTCTGAGGGACTCAACTTCTTTCGGGTGAGCCATACTTTTGCAATTTCCATGACCAAGAGCACCAAAAGTTCCATCTCCATAAGTAAACAGTTGTCCAGATGTTGACACAAGTCCTGTGTGCCATACTCCACAAGCGACGTGAGATATTTTCACACCATCGGAAGAACCACAAACTCTGCTTGGAAGCCAGTAGCTTCTTGTCTTTCTTTCAACAACTAAATTGTCACCCCATGTATATAATTCACCTGAAGTTGTCAAGGCACATGTATGGTATTCACCGCAACTGACAGATTTTACATGAACCCCATTAAGGGAGTCGACGATTTTTGGACATGAAATGTCTATATCAACTTTATGTCCAAGCCTTCCATTCTTTCCTTCACCCCAGCAAAAAACTTCACCTTGTTTGGTGACTAAGGCAGCATGACCACTCCCAATTGATATTGTTTGTACATCAAGCGTCGTAGTTGACTCCATAAGTTTGGGTAATAAAGCATCCATCTTTACTTCCCCTGCATCACCAAAACATCCTCCTTCTCCCCAAATAAAAACATCCCTTAAAACATACTGGATAGCAGTGTCAACACAAGTTGCTCTTTTCTGTCTTGGATCGTCTGATGAAGAATTTGCGATGACATTATCCATTCCGTTGTGCACACTTGATAGAGGAAGAAAGATGTCAGAGGAACATGATAAGCCGCCATCAGCATTACACTTATCTGAAAATGATCGAGTGGGACTCCTTGAAAAGCTTCGAACCTTGAACAAATAAGTTTACATCATTTATAGAGTAATGGAATGACAAATCTATCTTGAAGGGGATGTTGGATTATTACACTAGATTTCGGGCCCGTTTGGATGGGCTTAATAAAAGCAATTTTAAAAAAGTACTTTTGAAAGTGTGAAACGTATTTTTAAAATAAACAGTTATGCGTTTGGATAAAAGTACTGAAGTTAAAAAAAAAGTTGTTGATGTGTTTGGCAAATAAGTGCTGATAAATAGTTTTTTAAATTAAAATATCTTAAATACCCTTAAAAG